CTATTATTGTCTACCAAATCTAAGAAATACATTTTGACAGCTGTGAGACTTATTGCACCAAGTATGTCAACCAAAAAATGGAAACGTACAAAATTCGATTCTTTAAAAAAATCGATAACGATTATTTAGAGTTGGTAATCATTTACAGTTTGGTTTGAATAATACCAGAATAAATAAAAAACGCACAATTTAAAACACAAGATTGATCAGTTTCCCCCCCGAACGGGTTCCCGCCTTGTCGTGGCGGGGGGGCTTAGTAGCCGTGGCTTGGTCTCCCACGGTGAACAAAGAGGAACCCACGTGGCTGGCCCGAGATGAAGGGCCGGCCTGAGGTGGCCGCTCCGAGTGGGCTTGGGGAGCCCACTTTGGATGTGTGCTGGTGGACTGCAGTGAGTGGGGACTCGCGCACCCTCTACCGCTTCAGCCGAGGTGGAGTCGCGGAGGAAGAGGAGTGTTGGTATGGCGATACGCCACTCGCCCTATCCTTCGCGACTCAAACGGGGCCGCACCGTTGATGCGGTGGTGGTGGGGCTGCGGGGGGAGAGGATTGTCGGTATAGCGAGGCGCCGCTCTCCCTACCCTCCGCAGCCGAATCTTGGTTGTCGGCGGAGCCATAGACCAGATCCGCCGCTGGGGTCGGGAAGGCTAGTACTTCTAAGTGCTCGTTTTTCCTGGCCCCATGGCCTTTGTGCATCGGACGCGGGGGCGTCTGTTGCACAGACGTAGTTGGAGGCCGTGGAGGAAGGCGCGCCATGTGTTCTGGTGCGCCTTACCTGGGAAGGAGAACGGGGAGGAATTTTCCTCTCCCTAGAAGGTGCTGCCATGGGGCGGCAGGCGCTAGTAGGGCCGCGGATGTGTGCGAAAGCGTTCCCGTAGCCCTGCCAATATGCGACAAAGGTGGAACACCATGGGGTTTTAGTGGGTGCGAGTCCGACATAACCCGTCCTTGCCCCCGCGAGGCGGGTATGCGTAGGCATTTCCCCATGCAAAAAAAAAAAAAAGATTGATCAGTTTCTTCTTATTTGTTTTTACTGCTTATTTCTAGAGGCACATTTATAAAAATATAAGATTGAAACTAGATTAAAAAAAATTATTCAATCACTTTCAGTACAACTAGTTGAGCTGTCGTTTAGATTATTATTTGATTTTCGATAATGCAGTCAAAATTAATATCTCTTTCAAAGTCATCCATAATCAATTTTTTTTTTTGTTTTTTATACCACTTTTGTCCAATCATCCTTTGTGATATGGACACGTGCTTCTACGAATATATAAGAAATAGTCCAAAAAGTTAAAGCTGAGCAACAAAATAAGAAGACAAACACTAAATTACGCATAGTAAGCTCCCGAAATGGCGGAAGATTGAAATTACGTAGTAGTTTTTTCAGCACGGCCTTGTATATGAATTTTTTTGCTTACACAAATTTGCGTTCACAAATTTAAAAAAAACTTGTTTTGTTCATGATTGATGAACTTTAAAATAAAATTACGTTGAACAAATCATACATTACAAATATAACGATTCCATTATTTGAATATTTTACCGATTATCTGAATATTTTTTGCCGATTATTCACATAACAATGAATTTTAATGATCCAAACACTACGGTAAGGTACATAGCGACATATCATTGGAACGACGTCCAGTAAAAAAAGGTGATACTGGTTATTTTTTTAGTATCTTGCTTTGTTTGAAAGATGCGAATTTAAATTAGTGATAAAAACTATACACGAGGTAAAGAAATATACATAACTTTATAATTCTTCGGATTTACGGAAAAGGTTATTTTAAATGTCGTGAGTACGGTAGCAAAGTTATTGCGAAGAATGTGATTAATGTGAAACGTCAAAAGGTATTTCTTAGATTTGGTTGACTATAATACTGCTAATCAGCGACAAATGTAAAATACAATTTTTTCTTTCTATGGAGTTCTGGGCACATTCTATAAAAATGTGATAAGCATCATCGATAACATTGCAAGTTGAACAGTTTGGTGAGGTATTTTTTCGCTTCAAGTATAAAAATTTATTGCATGGAATGTGCCCAGATCTGAGTCTTAATGCTATTACAGTATCGGGTCTACACAATATTCCGTCATCTATCCAGGTTGGGTACGGCTGGATCGTACGGTACTATATACCCCTTTCTTTTGCTCTTTCGTCAAAATATTTCTTCCAAAAGTCATAACAATATTTTTTTTTTTAATAAAGGTATATAATTTTGAAATGAAGGGGTAATATTAATAAAATAGCCGAAATAGCTTGTTTGGCTAAAATATCAGCTTTTTCATTACCCTCTAAGCCAATGTGCGAAGGTATCCATTGTAAATATACTATTCTGGAGTCAGCCTGTAACTTAACTAGAAGCTTTAAAATCGCATATGCTACTGGTAAGCCTCGAAAAACCGAAGTACACCGAGCAAGGTGTTGAAGCGCACTCCTTGAGTCTGTTAAAATAACAATATTGCATATTTACAGTTAACACAATGTTTATATTTAGTTTCATTGAAATTGGCGTGAGGTTTATTTCTAAAATTTTTGTGAAATCAAATGTGCAGGTTGACGATGCCTCTAAGTTTTCATTAACAATGAGTGTGCGCAGTATTACAATAATCTAGCTTGCAGCTTTTACCATGAGTGTGGACACTACTTAAATTATTAATCAAAAGGGTGGCAAAAGCTGACTCATATTGGTCACAAGTTGGATTAATATTACGGCATCCATGGCGTTTAACCGATCCAAAGAAATCTTCCAGTGGGTCCTGATTTAGATGACGCAACCAAACTGATGTAATGCCAAAATCAATTTCAATTTTTTTTAATAAAACTTCCATCCCTTCTAGTGTCCACACCCAATTGTTTACAGTTGGAATAAATTCTACTAGTGGAAGATAAACATCATAGACGTAAAAACTTTTTGGCATCCATACATGTTTTGTGATGTATGGAGTGAGCTGTTGCAGGTCCAAGTCGAGTTTTGGCATCTTTTCTTTTAAAAACTGCCATTAACTGAGTCGAAAATATTATCCATAAAAGCAGCAGATCAGCATCTTCGTACTCTTTTCGAAGGATACCCGTTGTCTTTTTCTTGTCTGCCAATGCTCCTACTTAAAATTAAAAATTAAAAAAAATTATCAACCAGTTTTGTTTAAAAAAGGAAAAAAGGAAACAATTATTGCAACACCCCACAAACATCATTAAGTATTTATTAGTGGTTGCGAATTGACTTTCCTGAATCTAATAATTTTAAATTTATTGACCAATAATTTAATGCAAATTTTGGTACCTATCTAAATTCTTTAAATTTGTTATTTTACGTTCATGCACAAAATAGTTCATAGGGCGCACTTAATGCCATAGGGCATTCTATCTAGGCATGAGTCGGATATATCAAAACGAATCTAAAATCCCATTTCAAACACAAATCGATTCATATAGATTGCTCAAACTAGAAAATCCGATTTCAAAAATCGACCTAACTAGCTAAACTCTTACGATCTGCACAACCAAACCAATCCAAATCGAAAACAAAATCGACAGTATCCAAACTTAAATGCAAGCTGTTGCGTAGAAATCCAAATCCGTTTTTTCAGTGGCTCTCTCGATGACGTGAAGTTTGCGATTCAGATTTCGGTTTGTCGGCTTTGGAATATCGAAATCTATTACACATTGAGATATGGGATCAATAATATTCTTACTGCTTAGTACGTAAAGTCTATATTGGCTTTGCGAGATTATGCGTTGATGAATTTTTGGTTCAGTGTGCGATCAATATCTGTCTTATTGTTAAGTCGTTTAAGGCTATATTTGCGAGATTGTGTAATGATATATTTTTGTTTTTAGTTAAGTGTTTGCTTACTTAAAATAATTTTTTGTTTTCATGTTGTTATGTTTTAGACTTTAACTTTGTTAACTTATAAAACGAAATCTAAGTACGCAAACGAATTGGCGTGGCTAAGCGATACTGAAATCGGATTTTTAAAAACGGATTTTGAAATCAATTTTGAAATCTGAAATTGGATAAATATTGGTTTGCGTTCAAATCCAAAAACGCCCATGCCTAATTCTATCAGTCAACTATTAAGCTAAACAGAGGAACATATAAGAGGTGGTGGAGCAATAATCAAAATAGAAAGGGCTTTTTTATAGAATAAGGTGACAAACGAGCACACAGTCCACCTGATGGTAAGTGGTTACTGTGGCCCATAGACATCCACATCTATCCTCGATTACAAATAAGAATGCAGACGCATTGTGCAGACGCAGATGGAATGCCTCGTTTCCAGTAAAAAGGGTCTCCGGTTCTCTACACTCACCATACGTAACAGTAGCATTAAGCTACTATTTTACGCTGGTATTCTGTGAGAGCGTGGTCCTTCCCCGGTTGAGCCGATCCATTCGTGCTACAACTATACTACTGATATAACTGCAGCATGGCTCTACCATGTAAAAAAGGGCTGATAAAATACTAACAATGATATTATCATTACTAATATTCCCCTTAACCACCAGCTTAAAATGCTTGTGCTAGGAACGGTTCACGAGAGTAGTCGAATGGCGGATTCGATTTCACGACCTTTTGAGTTCGCGGCCCGTACCCTGCCATTAGCTAACGTAATGATACCAATGATTTCAAAAGGAAGGATTCTTTATAAAAGAAAAAGTAGCGCATCTGTCATAATACAAACGTCATAACACGACGTAACCAGGGTCAGATTTCGTAGTATAATTATCCTATTTATACCATTATTTGATAATGTGCAGTATACAGTATCTTAATAATACATACTAGGCAAATCGTAATTCGTCATCGCACATGTGTAAACATTGTTTATAAGTCTCCTCCTATCCATTTTTACCAGAAGCTTGATGACCGCAGCAGCTTCTCTCAGTTTGTGTGATGAAATGAAAACAGAATTTTAAAATATTTTCTATGTCAGAACAAATATGAAATATATATCATATTATCAAATATTAAATATAAATAGTTATCATCTCTCAATCAAAATAAATCAAACCTAAAAACATTTCAGCCCTTTTCTTTATAACTACAGGATTAGTTGATATCACAGAATCTTGCATTGGAGTAACGGGATCTGAAACATTAGTTAATTTTCTTTCAGCAACATGCTTCACTTCTATAATTATTCCTTTGCTACTTTATATTATTGTAATACTTTTAGCCATGAGCCATTTACACAGGCGTTTGTGACAAATGAGCACACAATCAAACTGATGGTAATTTGATGCTGTACCTATAGATACCTACATTTAAATTCAATTAAAAATTAAAATGCAGATGCGTTGTCACCCCTGAAGACTACGATAGAATACCTCATTTCCAGTAAAACCTAAACACCATACAAAACTCACCCGCACTAAGCAGCGTGGCTCTACCACATATAGGTTATAAGAACTTCATTAAAAACATTGAATTATAATTACAATAATAGAAACACATTAAATATACAGAGTAAATCAAAATTTATGCATTATAAAAAAGTTTATATCTTATGTTCAATAAATTGAAACTGTTAAAAAATGGCATCATAAGTCAGACTAACCAAGATTTTCTTTGTGAGAAGTATTTCCTTCCATTTTTGTGTATAATCGATGTACCGAACGTTCAGAGTAATGACCTGAAATGAAATTCATAAATCAATATCAAAAGAAGAAAAGGAAAGATTTAAAGAAATAACCAATTAAATATATCACTGTAGGTTAGGAGAAATGGGTGTTTCTCAGTGGATTGAAGTGTAGATCCCACGACAGTATAGTGTTAAGTTTAGAGTATGTTTCCTCTCATTACCATCTTTACCAACATTACACGGCGCCCTGCCAGACAATGCGCTGCGACAATGCAAGTGCACTGTCGCAGTATGAATAATTATTAAACTGTTAAATAAAAAAAAGAATTTACTATAATTTACTGGAATTGACACAATTGTATTGGATATGATGAAAAGGAAAATTAAATGCGCATATAAATATGGCCTTTTCTTAAATGTTTAATATTATATACTTTTTGAGGAAAATGCTGCGGGGATTGCAATTTGTATTTGGATCTGTCTGTTGGAATGTTAATTATCTGGGGGCACGGCAGTGCCAAGTGCCGCCAAGTCGAGCAAACAAGCGGCACGACCGTACCATACTTTTCTCGAAGTGATTCAGGCCATTTTCGACCCCCTATATTTATTATTTATTTAATTCAAAAACTCTTGTGGCTTACAGAAAATCCAACACGCACACAAGGTTTAATTTTACATGCAAAAAATAATAAAAAATTCATCCAATTATAACAAACGAATTAATAGTTGTCAATCATAAATTAAACAATTATGCAATGTTAGTGTTATAAGCCTTTAGCAGCGCGTGTTGAGAAATTGAAATATGAAAATAAAATATTAAAATATGAATATAAAAAGAAAAAGGTCGCAAACATACAATGTCAGGCTATGAAATATTTTGTTATATTGTGTCTATAACTTCGTAGTGGATAAAAATAGAATCCTGAATTTTCAGTAACCAAGTAGGCGTTGTATAAACATAGTATATTTCAAATTTCATTCAATTTGAACCAGTAGTTTAAGAATTATAACTACTCAAAATTTCTTAATTTTGTCACTCACTGACTGACCGATCATCAAAACTCTAGACTGTCGTAAAGCGACAATTAAAAACTAAATAACCTAACCTAACTACAACAAAACAACCAAAAATAAAATAAATTATTTAAAAATTTGAAAAGATTTACAGTTTCTTTTATAAAAAAAAGGTATGAAGGTGATGATGGGCTGTAATGATGATAGTGATTTACAATATTATTAAAAAAAAATAACAAAAATAAAGATACTGCAACGAAGTATGCACAGGCTATGCCTATGATAGGTGCACAGCGCCTGCTCTAGGTACACGCAGAATCTGGAGAAAGCACATGCAGCGTCTGGAGAAGGTACACGCAGCGCTTGGAGTAGGCACACGCAACGCCCGGAGCAGATACTCGCAGCACCCGGAGTAGACACGCAGCGTCTGGAGTAGGTACACGTGGCGCTTGAAGTAGGCAAACACAACGTCCGGAGTAGACACACACAGCGTCCGGAGTAGACACGCAGCGTCTGGAGTAGGAACACGCAGCGCTTGAGACAAGCACGCTCAGCGGCTGAAGATAGCGCGGGCACTAATAGGTGGAGGCGTAGGCGTGGCTAGGCGACGACTTCAGGAGAAGGCTTGCAAGATCCCGAGGCAGTGCGGATAAAGCCTTTCAGAGGTGCTTCTCGTATCAAAGCTGAAGTGAGGACCTCTATCGGCCGATTCTTCGGCTTTTATACTTTTTGACGGATCTGGGATAAGAACGAGAAATTATTTGAAATTATTTAAATTAAAAGCAAATTTTTGTAAATGGCCAAGAAGAAAGAAGAGTATTTTTTGAAGTAAAAACATCAGGCCGGTAACGATATTTGAATAAAAATTGCCATGACAACCAGATAAACAACGACGTCAAAACATGTCAAATTTTGGTTTTAGGCTCGTAATAGAGAAACGGCAAGATTTAAGTGAAAAATGAGATATTATTGATATAGAAAAAAAGGTAGCGCAACAGTGCGCACGAAGCCCGAAATTGCAGAGTTACGGAGAACTAAATAAAATACCGAAAAAGGTAGACTCCATTGACACCGATTTAAAAAGTGCTGATAACGTGAAAATACGATGTGAAAATGATTTGTTATTGTGTTCTTATGGTTTAAAAACGTTACAGGATCCTATGAAAATAAAGGTGATGCAAAATATCCAGTTTTGAGGCTAATGCAGAAAATCAAAAACAGAATGGAAAAATAAATGTAAAATGATATGTAAGTAGCATAACACTACATTTTCCCCCCGACCCTGGAAAATTTTTGACTCAGCAAAAATTTTGACATGTACATTCTAAAATAAACCATAAAAACACAGCTTTGCAGTAACAGACATCACCAGGCAAAATCAGATATACCATCTCTTACATTCATCATCTGCATTCAGGTAAGGGTGGAGTTCACATTCAATGACTACCACTCTAAAAGTGTGTTTTCGAAAGGACATTCAGGCTTATTTAAGGAGTTGTCATCCGCTCCTGCGTGGAAAAAAAACAATTTTATTAAGGGAGTAGTCAGCCTTAAGCAAGCTTTAGTCGCTATGACTTAAGTAAAGATTAAGAACGGCCAGAGCGGTAGGGCTCAAAGCCAGAGATCAGCAACATCACTAACGAGATGTGTCTGAAATAGATATTTATACATATATACAAACATATATACAAATATACATATATACAAATGTAGTGTCATGCAAAACAGTATTAGCTGGTTCCTCACATCTAATCTTCACTTCGTATTCGAGTTCGGCCTTGTTAAGGAATTCGTACTTAATAACCCTTTTCATTGTTATAATTAAGTGCAAAGTTAAGTTCAAGAAATAAAATTTTAATTAAAAAATTGTACCTCTTTAAGTTATCTAGAATAAAAATATTAAAGTGATGAATGTAAGTGAAGTGTTATATGTAGGTCTAAATATAATCCAGATAAGTTGAAAAACTAGACGAAGTTTTGTTTTAGAATTTGGAAGATATGATAAGGATGAGTAAATAAAGAGTTAAGAACGAAAGAGAAAGCAATTCAATCAAAAGGAAATGGATAAGGCGTAGCTAAGGTGAAGAAAAGAAGAACTTTTACGTCGGGCGCCAAATTGTCGTAAAGCGACAATTAAAAACTAAATAACCTAACCTAACTACAACAAAACAACCAAAAATAAAATAAATTATTTAAAAATTTGAAAAGATTTACAGTTTCTTTTATAAAAAAAGGTATGAAGGTGATGATGGGCTGTAATGATGATAGTGATTTACAATATTATTAAAAAAAAATAACAAAAATAAAGATACTGCAACGAAGTATGCACAGGCTATGCCTATGATAGGTGCACAGCGCCTGCTCTAGGTACACGCAGAATCTGGAGAAAGCACATGCAGCGTCTGGAGAAGGTACACGCAGCGCTTGGAGTAGGCACACGCATCGCCCGGAGCAGATACTCGCAGCACCCGGAGTAGACACGCAGCGTCTGGAGTAGGTACACGTGGCGCTTGAAGTAGGCAAACACAACGTCCGGAGTAGACACACACAGCGTCCGGAGTAGACACGCAGCGTCTGGAGTAGGAACACGCAGCGCTTGAGACAAGCACGCTCAGCGGCTGAAGATAGCGCGGGCACTAATAGGTGGAGGCGTAGGCGTGGCTAGGCGACGACTTCAGGAGAAGGCTTGCAAGATCCCGAGGCAGTGCGGATAAAGCCTTTCAGAGGTGCTTCTCGTATCAAAGCTGAAGTGAGGACCTCTATCGGCCGATTCTTCGGCTTTTATACTTTTTGACGGATCTGGGATAAGAACGAGAAATTATTTGAAATTATTTAAATTAAAAGCAAATTTTTGTAAATGGCCAAGAAGAAAAGAGTATTTTTTGAAGTAAAAACATCAGGCCGGTAACGATATTTGAATAAAAATTGCCATGACAACCAGATAAACAACGACGTCAAAACATGTCAAATTTTGGTTTTAGGCTCGTAATAGAGAAACGGCAAAATTTAAGTGAAAAATGAGATATTATTGATATAGAAAAAAAGGTAGCGCAACAGTGCGCACGAAGCCCGAAATTGCAGAGTTACGGAGAACTAAATAAAATACCGAAAAAGGTAGACTCCATTGACACCGATTTAAAAAGTGCTGATAACGTGAAAATACGATGTGAAAATGATTTGTTATTGTGTTCTTATGGTTTAAAAACGTTACAGGATCCTATGAAAATAAAGGTGATGCAAAATATCCAGTTTTGAGGCTAATGCAGAAAATCAAAAACAGAATGGAAAAATAAATGTAAAATGATATGTAAGTAGCATAACACTACATTTTCCCCCCGACCCTGGAAAATTTTTGACTCAGCAAAAATTTTGACATGTACATTCTAAAATAAACCATAAAAACACAGCTTTGCAGTAACAGACATCACCAGGCAAAATCAGATATACCATCTCTTACATTCATCATCTGCATTCAGGTAAGGGTGGAGTTCACATTCAATGACTACCACTCTAAAAGTGTGTTTTCGAAAGGACATTCAGGCTTATTTAAGGAGTTGTCATCCGCTCCTGCGTGGAAAAAAAACAATTTTATTAAGGGAGTAGTCAGCCGCTCCCAAGTGAAGATAAAGATAAAGAAATTAAGCAAGCTTTAGTCGCTATGACTTAAGTAAAGATTAAGAACGGCCAGAGCGGTAGGGCTCAAAGCCAGAGATCAGCAACATCACTAACGAGATGTGTCTGAAATAGATATTTATACATATATACAAACATATATACAAATATACATATATACAAATGTAGTGTCATGCAAAACAGTATTAGCTGGTTCCTCACATCTAATCTTCACTTCGTATTCGAGTTCGGCCTTGTTAAGGAATTCGTACTTAATAACCCTTTTCATTGTTATAATTAAGTGCAAAGTTAAGTTCAAGAAATAAAATTTTAATTAAAAAATTGTACCTCTTTAAGTTATCTAGAATAAAAATATTAAAGTGATGAATGTAAGTGAAGTGTTATATGTAGGTCTAAATATAATC